CGCATCTTTAAATATAAAGGAACAATGTTCAAATCAACTCTATTGTTTTTATAATTAATCATTTTTTTATAACTTCATTTTGATCGCAAATTAATGTTGTTAATTGACAATTAGTAAAGTGAATACAAAAGGAATTATAAATTACTTCGCATATATTTTATACTCATTGGTATAAATCAAAATTACATTTAAAAGTTGGTGTCAATGATTTTTAGAGATTTTCAAATTAAATGTTAGTGATATGAAATATTCTCTACTTTCTCTATTATTCTGTACTTAACTGTATATACAATGTCACGTTAATCATGTTAAAAACATTTCGAAATATTTCAAAACGACTTAACAATTTGTAAAATTTAATAAGTATATGTGTATTTTGTAACGTCTGAACTATTTGTCATAAATATGCAATGTATCAAAAATGTCTTGTTTTTTTTAAATGTCATATGAAGTCGTAATTATGTTATATATAATTCTTTATTTAATGAAATTGTAGAAAAAATGTATCATGTACGTTTTACTTCACCGTAAACCTTCGAATTGTCTAAATATGCTTGTGGCAGGCATTGCATGTTTCATCATTCTCTCCAATGACTCTCAATGGTCCAGCACTTGTCGAAGGCCACTGTACACGTTGTAATGAAAACTAGGTGTAATAATGTGAAAGCAATAAATCTTTATAAACTTGAATAATTTTTTCAAAGCGGAAAATTTTCATAATTCTTTCAAAATGGAAAATTAATGCAAAAATAAATACGATCCTTTTTCGTTAAAAAAATACGTTTCCCATGGAAAATATTTTATTTACAATACTATTGTTATTTTGAATATTTATCAACAATACTGCAATCAATATCTTTAATAAATATTCATATATTTCTCCAATAACTAAAATTCATTAAACTTTAGAAAAAATCATTACAATAACAATTTATTGGTAAAAATGTCTTATTCAAGCGTTCAAATCGAAAACTCAAAGTTGCTTATATGGACATTTCGTTTCTTTCTTAAGTTCTCGCAGATGTTAAACTTATAAAATATTCGACCTTTAGCAACGAAAGCAATGGTTGAATGCAGCAGGCAGGATATTTCAAATAAAACTTGGAAATGATTCGTTCGAGAAATCCGATTCAGATATGTGATCGATTTAATAGTTTGTTGTGTTTTTTAATTCCTTTAACATTTGCATAACGCTATTTCCAAGGTTCTCGCTATTGAATAATTACCATAATGTGCAATATTGTAAACGCGACTCCAACACAAATTAACGCTCGATCCTTCAATTGTTTTCCGTAATTGCCAAACAATTATATTCTTTGTATTAATTGCATAATCACGATAAAAATAAAATGCGATCGCAAATTCAACGCACATCGCATTAGAAATGTAAAGGAGAATCGTAACAAAAGCAAAAAAAAAAACAACCGCAAAACCGTAAGTGGAGTCGATCAATTTAATAATGAAAAACGTTTTTCAGTATTGTTTTGTTTACTCCCGTTGCCTGGTTTATAATTAACTCTTGTAATTGCTTCGCGGCATACGCGATTGTGTAATAATCATTTTCACGTGTTCGCATGGGTACCATAAACATGGTAATTCTCCGGAATCCGAAGATGCATATTGCATTTGTTTAAATCCCATTCGTTTCCAGTCTTTCCATTCGAGCGCTCGCAATTTGCACATAATGGACAGAATCGATTGTCCGCTAATTAACTTCGATAATTACTGCTTACTATTTGGGGTTAGTAATTATCATTCAATTAACTTTAACGAGGACACAAGTAGTGTTTTTTTTTGTTAGCATAATCATGTTTTTTTTGTTGCTTTGATATATACAAATCACGAAATTTCCTCATCAAACCGAGGATAGCCAGTTTCATTCGCTTTTTGTCTATTCCACATGTTTTATCTAATTCTACGGTATTTCGTAACTCCGGCGTGCGAACTATAATTAAGTTTTTGCATGTATTTATAACGAACGAGCACACATTCCGATCAAATTACGACACGATCTTTAATCATTTGCGTCAATATTACTTTTCATATATCAATAGTTACTGTAATTGATTATTTCTATATGCACTGTAATAAATATAAAAAAGTACATTGGTCAAACAATGTGAGGAAAAGAACAATACGTTTATTAAATTCGTTTTTCTGAAATTACACAAGCTTACTACTTTATTTTTACAATGTGCAACACATGTATTGAATTGAAAAGTAGGTTAATATATAAATACCTCGCGTAGTCCGACTTCAATCAGTCCGGATTCACTATATAGTTTACTAAACCTTTTTTTCCTGTATACAGTCAGGTCTATTGTACAGACTAACCTCGCTTTATCCGTTTAATTTCCAGATTTACTCGTAACATATTCAAAAATACACATAATATGATGTAGCAGGCGTGCAATCCGGGACTTCTCTTCTCATCGTCACTCGTTATGCGAAACGTTGCTCGTTAAGCGAGTCATTTTTCTTACAATTCAAACAGTCCGGAATATTGACGGAATTGATTACCCTCACTCTGCTAAGTTTTGTTTTATAAAAATACTAACAAAGAAATATTTTTTGTGATAATTAATAGAAACACAGATTGTTTTTTTATAATATAATTATACTTGTTATACTTGTTAATGTTATTGTTTTCATTAGTTAATGGTAAAACATTTTTGTAATTTTGCATTTTAATGATTTTGAATTTCAAATTATGCGAACAGAATAGAAAACAGTAAACCTGAAAACAAAAACTGTACACTAGTAATCAAGAAAATCTATATGGATTTAGGCGATTTTTTCTCATAAATAAATGAACAAATATTGTTTGTGCAAAATAAACCGCAAAGAGTCATACCAATTATCTCGCAGATGTTAAATCACAAAAGACGATTCACCTGAACTCGTTGCTATGTAAATTTATTTAAGAAACAACAGATATTGTATTTATGGAAAATAAATCTATACTAGTTTGTTTAATTGAATGTTAATAATTCACGAAATTTAAATGTCAATTCATGTTTTATGCATGTGAATGCTACTTTAAAACATAATGCGTAAGTAAAAACAGCACAAAAATGGACTTGACGATATAGAAGGAAATTTAAAAAAACAGATCTTTTATGCATACAAAATAATTTTGTGTATAATTTTTCTAGAATTTATTTTAATTTTATCAATTAAAATGCAGGAGTGATCAAAGCCGCACTATGCGAATGCACTTGCTGTTTTTACAAAATTGTATTGCCTCTGCAATGTTATTGAACAAATGGTACCATGAGAAATGCGTTTAATTAACTTTATATATTACGTTTATATTGATGGAAAATACTAGAATTCAAGTTTATGCAATAAAGAATAATAGCCAAGTTTCTTGTTAAATTAAAAGAACTAAATAATATTTTCCTATTTTAGTTTTAACTAGGCGGCTTAATTACCTACAAAAGCCAATAAATCTTTCCAATGGACAGTTATTAAGTTTAAATGCATGTATAGGAAACAGCACGTTATAGCAATTATATACAATTGAAACTAACATGTCGTTATTCAAAACGCTCCCAAAATAATGTCACATTTCTATTTGTAACTCACACCAAATTATTAACATAGTTTTTCTCTTATTACTTTAATTTTGACATTTTTTTTAAACATCACTTATATCTTTTTAAAAATCAATTTCATAAATATTTTAAAGAAATATAAAATTTTGTTTTAAATATGCATTACCTAGGGAACAATCTTGTTATGTTTTATAGATTTTTATGTATTGGGACATTATTTTCTCATTGACAAATTATTATTAATTCACGGTTTTGTTACACATAAACTCATAACTTTTTACTCTACAAATTAGTAACTCAATATATTAAAACAATTTGTCACACATATCAATATATAGTTCCTGCCTGCAAATTTTCATGAAATGAATACAATATAATTACTTTTTTTCAAATTACTATATAAATATCCCTTTATTTATGTTTTTAATATATAGAAAACAAAACCAATGTGCTATTTTAAAATGATAATAAATAAACTGTATCTTTGTTGGTCATCTTTAGAAAGTGACTGGTTTATTTAACTGTGAATGTATTGGACTTATTTGTATTAATTGAATTGCTTTGTAATACTGATACAATATGTGATTAATGTCCACAAAGTATAATGTTCAATCGAGTAAAATATTTATAAATTAAAATAATAATTTGCAATAGTATGCATGAATAAACAATAAATATAACAATAAATTTTTCTTCCTCGCCATAATTTGAATTAAATAACTTCTGTTTAAAGTAGTGAAACCTAATTTAATGTAAAAAATAGTATATTTGTTTTTATATAAATCAAATTTAATATGATTGGTATATTAAAACAATATAATAATTCGGGTTATAGCAGAACCGTTAATAACTGATCAAAATAAGAAGTTTGTTTTTATAGAAGAAAAAACCACAGACAGAACCAAGTTTATTTTAACATTTTAATTATATAATATTTACATAATGAAAATAACATTTAATTTGCATTAGCTACTATTTTTTCTTGATTTTGTATTTCTGTTTGAATACGTTTCCAAATGCGATTTACGGAATCGAGAAGTTTATGATCGATTGTACGGAGCGAACATAAATCTAAGTAGTAATGGAACTCGCGCATTTTCCTGAAACGGCTTCGAGTTACGGCCAATTTGCAATCTAATTAGTTGCAGACCTTACTTAATATCACTAGGAAATCATTGCTGTCACGACCACAACTAAACTAATAAATTCAAATCACTTTTACTTTTGTCCTTTTCAATGCGTCTGTCCGCCGCCACGTCTTTGGTCCACTGCAATCCAGGAAAGACTTGCATTAGATAAATAGCAACCAAAACAGTTCCTCCTATGCAACAGCGAGAATGATGATAGTGGACATTTCTGTTAATGTTTAGAATAATTTATTTTATTGTCTTTGTTCGCACGGAAGATAAAACTCGTTTTCTCAATTATTTCTTTTTGTTGCAGGTATTTTTTTTCTTTTTTATCTTTGGAGAGAGAAGATGTCGCAAAAGAAGAATGGAAAATTGGATTTCGGGTCAAAGACGAGTTGCCAGACCGATTTGGAGAATGGGTTCGTGTGTTATTTTTTTGTTAATTTTTGTTAGTTGTTGTCTTTATGATCGTTTTGTTCTTTGCAGCGATAATATTTCGTTAAGTTGGTTTCGGTCCTCGGATAAGATAATTCAGACGCCGTCGGATGAGAAGTCTGGACAAATCGAGCATCCGACCACGTGAGTACCCTCAAAAATTGGACTATGCACAAGTTGCCTGACCACGATCGCTGCTTGCGACTATTACTTTTTTTTTTATCTTTTTCAAGCGAAAAACTAGTTTTGTTTTGGGAGCAGCGATCCGTTTAGACAAACTACGCACATTTACATGACAACGACTTGATACGTTTTTGTTTTAATTTTTTTTGTTTTTTTTTTCTTGTCAGATATTCAGAGACCCTGATCCACATACTGAAGGGGAATCTAGGGTCGGGGCTCTTCGCCATGGGTGACGCCATCCGGAATTCCGGCATGGTTTTCGGGCCGACGGTCATCATTTTTCTGGGCCTCATCTGCACCCACTGTCAGCACTTATTGGTAATTCAGGATGCAATTACTTTCCTTTTCACTTTGCTATATTTTCGGGAAACATTAATGCCAGGATGCCGGCAATCCTTATTCGCGGCGCGCGAAATATTATTGCATTAACGATACTGAAAATAATTAAATTACATCACTGAGCGCGTGCCAATTGAACCGAAATTAGATAATTCCCGCTTTCTGAGGAAAAAAAAATAACATCATCGAGTATATTTGTTTAGCGCACGATCACATCGCTCGATTACAATGAACCAACTTTCATTAGTGGGAAAACTGTCTATTGTTCCTCTCGAAGCCATTACCTCTGCACGTCATGTTACATAAAGGGTGGAACTGCGCCTTGTGATAATGTTTTTGTTGTTTTTCTCCGAATATCGTTAACAAAGGTTTACATCCAAGTGTAATTATGTTTAAGATAATGATTAATTAAATTATATGTATGTGATAAATGCATTATACCTTTCTCATGTTGACATGGTACCACATTACATTATACACTGATCTAGGACAAATGTTGATATCTACATGCTTATCTTTATACATTTTTTTATGAATACAATTTTTCAGGTAGATCTACTAAAATGTTTAGATATCTCTGAAATAAAGACAATTCATTAAAGTTTTCTGAAACTATAAGAAAATCGTTTTGAGTAACGATGAAAAATGTTTTAAACGCAGCGTGTGTTTTAAGAGAATTACTAATATATTTGTTGTAATTTTCTTTTGTTTGTTTTAACAAATATACATATTTATTTTATTTTTAATTAAATCTAAAATAATTATGCAATTGAAACTGCAATTCTTACAAATGTTTTGCCTTAATTAATCCTATAAGATTATGTTAATTTAAATTTTATCAGTTAAGAAAATTGATTATTTCAAATGTGACACTACTAAAATGAGAAACATGTCAATACATCAGGTAGATCCCTATCAGTTTTTAATTTAAAAAGTCGATCTCAAGAAACAAACAAACTGGCTACCCGTTTTATGTTGTCGTTCGAAGTATCATTGGTTGCATAGGTTGAAAATTGACCAGTATACAATGCTTACTTGTTTTGTAATATAGATATATAAAGGCTGCTACACACTACACATTTTCATGTACATTTTTTGTCATGAAAATATTAAATGAATAAATGATTTCAGTTGACCGCTTCAGACAAGATTACCCAAAGGACTGGGATCAAAGAATCCCCAAACTTCGCAAAGACTGTGGAACTTTGTTTTGCAAATGGACCGCCGCTTACACAGAGGATGGCTCCAGTGATGAGGAAGCTGGTTAATATCTTCCTCTGTGTGACGCAACTCGGATTCTGTTGCGTGTATTTTGTGTTCATTTCGGACAACATCTACAGTGTAAGTTCTCCGCAAATTTTACATACACGCAGATTCAAAACCGTGTTTATATATGCTTCTAGGTGTGCATGTCTTACGGTGTCGACATCGATGTTCACCTGCATATGCTGTTCATCCTGCTGCCAATTATCTTCTGCAGTTTAGTGAGAAATCTCAAATATCTCGCACCGCTGTCTCTGATCGCCAACATCCTGATGGCGGTGGGCTTCGTGATCACTATTTACTTCCTCGTTGTTGAAATGCCACCGTTGAAAGACGTGAAACTCATCGCTAATCTCGATCAAATTCCATTATTTTTCGGCACGGCACTTTTCGCCTTCGAAGGAATTGGACTGGTAATAATCTACGCTTCTTCTGGTATTTGAGCTATTTTACTAAAAGAAAACTATTTTTTCGGTAGGTGTTACCACTTAAAAACGAAATGAAGAATCCGAGCTCTTTCCAAAAACCATTCGGAGTGCTCAACATAGGCATGTTCCTCGTGACCATCCTTTACACGACATTGGGCAGCATGGCTTTCTTGACTTACGGAGAAGACGTTAAAGGCAGCGTTACTATTAACTTACCGGACACACCGTAAGAACTAAATATGATTTGCTTCGAAGCAATGATTATTTAATCACCTCTTGGCGATCTTTCTTAGGTTGGGAACGGCGGTTAGGGTTATCATTCCCACAGCCATCTTGCTATCTTACGCTCTCCAGTTTTATATTGCCGTTGACATTATGTGGCCCGTCGTCTCAGGAGCTTGTGGTCCTCTGAAGCACCCCATTGCAAGTGAATTACTGTTCAGGGCTGGTCTTGTTCTAGTCACATGTAAGTAAACCTAACAAAAAATTAATTTGAATCATCAGTGCTTAATATATCTGTTTATGTTCTAGTTGCTTTGGCTGAGGCCATACCTTATCTGAGATTGTTCATTTCATTGGTGGGAGCGATCAGTAGTACCGCCCTGGCGCTTCTGTTCCCACCCCTTTTAGAATTCATTACGTGCGAGATCACCGCCTGGATGGTCATCAAGAACGTCTTCATCTTACTACTCGGCGTTGTTGGCATGGTTACGGGTACCTACGAGAGTATTCATAGCATAGTGGAAGCATTCCAGGAAAATGCCAAAAGCTAGATAAGAAAAAACAGTTATTCAATGTTACCTCAATCGCCCTGACCAAATCCCGTCGATCCCCGCCGTTTTGTAATTGCAATTTTTAACTACCTGACAAATCATATTTTATCTATTATTTGTTTTTTTTATTACCATATATTATTTCTGTTTTATTTTCTTCTATTAATTTTGTGATATAGCCCTATTGCTATTATTAATTAGGTTTCTAGACTCTAGTGGTGATATTACAGATAAATAATATTATTACGACGTGCCTTCTATATCTCTTCTATTTTGGAGAGATTTTAAATTATTAATTTATTAGCACTAGTTTTGCAAATGATTATGAACAGTCGAAGAGTGAGTGATGTGCGAGATATTTCTATTTTATTGACTTTTTATTGTTAAGAGAGGAAAATGTAAGAAAAAAAAGAGAATATCGAGAATAGGTTTATAATAAAAAAAAAATAAACAAATGACTATAATTATTAATAAACCTAAGTATCCTTACATAAACAAATACACAACAGTTATGTGATCTGTACTTAACAAACAGTGAATAGAAACGAATAATAAAACATTTAAATATTATCAGTTGTTGATTGCGTCTGTAGCAAGGAAGTGGTTCTCATCAATCGATGAAAAAATGTGGCCTTCAGAAGATAAATACTCAATAGCATTACTGGAAGAAACATAAATTAATACATTGTACGACTTGAACATATTTAAGGATTACTTGACTTCCATCCTTTCGTGATCCGGGAATTTCGATAATATGTCTTGTCTACCAACACCTAGTTTACTGCCGCTGCCATCATCCGGCATGATGATCCTGTAAACAGCCTGCTGGATACGTGTCAACTTGTTGGTGGTGCTTGAAGAACCGTCAAACATGACACTCATGGAATTCGCTAATTCCGCTCCAGGATTATTTTGGATTTGCAACACTTTGCCCTATATTGAAATAAATATAGTTTATACAATACATACACAGATCCACAAACCTAAGAAAACTTACATCCTTCGACATTTTCTCCGCAACTAATCGCACGTGAATCATCTCCAACAGATGTGTAGTAATCATATTTATGTTTTTAACTTGAGACAAGTTAAAGATCATCACAGACTTCTCCCCATTTATAGACCTCAAAGTTCCATAAATTTGAACATATCTACCTTCCAAGACAGTTGGTAATTTATCATTATCTGTTTCAAGCCATAGTATGCCATTGATTGACCCAGTGTGATCTTCCACTGTGTAACTAGCCTGCGTTGAAGTAACATTCACTTCTCTCAGTATACCAATAATTCTCACCTACAATAAAATAAAATTTAATGATACCAACTAAAACATAGCAAGAACTCAGATTTACAATTTGTACTTTCATTCCGAACAACTCAAATTCCTCTTCTGTGCAATCTCTTATTTGCCTTACACATACTGGCACAATATTTTGCACACGACGGGGCTAAAATCAGAAATTGAGTATTTCAAAATGTACTAATAAGATAGATAACCTCTTGAGATTTCTTCTTTGATGGAGAATCCACATCGTTGCTATTAAAGAAGCCCTGACCACTACCTAGTAGAACAAAGAAAATACATTATTAACCTGTATTTAATATAATTTTCTATTTTATTTACCTGATGTATCAAAAAACATGATGGAAATATAAATAACGATCGTTCTATACCGAAATAACTGAGTTCCACTGATATCTGGTGATATGTAACAATAAAACGTACAGAGAGCAATACAATATAACAATCAAAATAACCGGTCATTCGCTGTCAGTTTAAATTGGCGGGAAATAAATTTTGTTAGTTTGGTAATCTATATGCCAACAAATAATTCTTATAATCAATAACAAATATCAGCATTTTTGAATTCAGGTTTAAATTTAATGTTAATTCTTTTTCAAAGTATTTGTATTNNATATATATATATAGGCAACCAACAACGCTGAAAACAAACTGTTCTTCCTTTAGTCTGAAAGGAAAATCGTTTTAAAAACTTTAATAAACAATTTGAATTGAGGTCAAAATTCACAATTCTACAGTTAGGTGTTGCGTGTAATGTTACAGAAAAACTAATATGAAAAAAATGTTTATGGTCTTCAAATACAATAACTGATGTTTAGGGCCCACGACATTCATAATGAGGCTCTCCAAGATGCTCCAAGAATCAACACTCAATTTTTTATGATTTTCTCTATCATCAAATTTGTCTAAGTTCTCCAAATTTTCTGGGGGAAGGGAGATCAAAATAAGAAATTTCATATAGTATTTAAAATAGACCATTCATTTTAGTATATTTAGAGAAAACTTCATAAAAAAAAAGTACATATGGTAAAATATCTATAAATAACTCCGGTTTTCAACGTATACAATAACATCGCATACACATCTCGAACTTCGGACTAATGCAAAGCAATTGAAAATAATATGGCAGAATACTGTAGAATCGACTGGAGTCGACAGTGTAGACTGTTGCACGTTTTGATTGTTTCTTTTTATCAGTCGTTTCGTATATTGTAAGTATATTAATTTTACTCGATATCTATTCTAAATTATATAAAATGGATTTAGTAATAATTTGTTGTGTAAAACCATTATTAGAGTGAATAAACTAACTACAGTAAAACGCCGATGCTATGTGCTAATATGATTACCAAAAATATCCGTAATTTATGTAATTTTTTGACTAGGAAATTGATAGTAATGTTGTACTTGAAGATAATTCACCAATTATAATTAAAATCCGACGAGTGGAAAATTATATCGTCGATCCCAAAAATTAATTTAGGAAGACGACCAACCAACTCCGATCATTGTGCGCGGCACAAGCTAAGTGAGAAGGGTGGTGGAAGGAAGAAGAAGAACTCCGATCATCGACGAATAAGAAAATACACGAATTTGTAATATTTAGATAAGGAATTTTAAATGATATTACACAATACTGTAGATTGTTGCACGTATTGATTATTGATATTTTTAGAATTCTTGTTATCATCATATTGCAAGTATATTAATTTTACTTAATCGCCGATATCTATTCTATATTAATTCAATTATAAAATTAATTGCTAACAGTCACCACTGTAAAGAAATAATTAGTTGTAGGTGTGTTTTGTTTAATTTTTATAACAAAGATGGAGTATTCCTGGCTAGAAAATAAATTGCAGGAAATTAATAGAAAATGCATTCAAATTAACAATAAAAAGTCGAACAACGACAGCTTAAATATGGTATGTTAACATTCAAATTTTATATGTTAGGTATAAAATAAATATTTATTTTCAGATAATCGGCAAATTAATAGATGTTATGAAAGACACAAGTGTATTATTTAAAACTCTATATGAACGTATCATATTTAATGGAAGTTATTATAACAATTTGAAAATAAGTAAAGCCGATGAATATGATTTAGATTTGATATTAGTACTTCCAGTGGCATTAGAAACAGTTCTAATGCTCACTCCTGAGGCTGGATATGTTGACGTCAAAATAGATATCAGCAAAATAAAAAAACTTGCGTACTACAGAGACATTTTAACGTAAGTATAATCTATAGTTTATTAATGATACAATTGTATTTTATAAAAATTGATATATCTATCAATAATTCTAGGCCTTTGGAGAAATTGTGCGAAAATGGTATTTTTAGTTCTTTAAAAATCCATAGCTGGTTTGAAGGTCTTGTTCAAAAATCATTAAACATTATTAATGCAAGTAAATACTTTCCTCAGTATAAACTTGTACGTATATTCTCAATGTCCAAAGAAATCTCATTAATAATATTATTGTTTGTTTTTTTATATATAGGACATGTATAAGAGCGGACCGGCTGTAACTTTGACCGTACACACACCATTTTCAAGTTATGATATGGACCTTGTGCCATGTTTAAAATTAGACAAGTCCTTGTATCCCAAAGGGTACAAGAAACAAAATTGCAACCATGTATGTTTATGATTCAATCGAATATATACATGAGTTAAATATATATATTATTTTTTTTTTGTGTAGATATATGCTGTTTCGAAGCCAAATAAAGACAAAGAATGGAGACTGTCTTTTATTGAACAAGAATTATCTATTCTACGTGACAATGGCCACGTCAAACCTGCCATAAGGCTGTTGAAGGTATTTTATCCAACGAAAAGTTCATAATTGAATATAAAATATTTTCTTAACATTATTGAATAATTAGTATTCTTCTATTTCAGTTCTTGCGGGATCAAAGAGACCATAAACTTATTAAAAGTTATTTTATTGTAACTGTTGCGATGTGGGATTTGGAAACAACTAATTTCAATGGCAAGTCTCTTAGTTTTGCATTTATGACAGTAAGTAAACTGAAGCAGCAGGTGATACTCCAAACATAATTATTTTTATTTCTATAGCTGTTGGAGTCATTATATAAACACATCTGCGAAAGAAAAATTCCATTTTACTGGAATCCCAATTTAAACTTGCTGAATAAATGCCACAGAGACTATTTGTTCAATTTGGAGAATCAGTTATTGAACATTCTGAAGAAACTTAGGAGTTCCAATTCCAATCCGAACGTTCTCAATGAAGTCTTTAACTTTGATATCCAGGAATCATAAGCAATGAAAAATATCTTTGTATTAAAATTGATGTAGTTTTTAGAAAAAACATTTGGAGAGTAATTTTGGTGTTGATTTAGATGACTTTCTAGGAAATTAAATCTAAAAAAAATGCTATTGATATATTTTTGTTTTACTATTTATTATTTCGTACTTTGTTTATGGCACAAGTTTGATATTTTTTTCATAATATAATTATTATGATAACACAGCGTAATCTCGTGTCATTTCATACCCTAATAAACACACTGGAGCGTGCTGCAAGCAACAAATACACATTTAAACTAATTCGAGATAGTACAAAAATAGAACCGAACTCTTCGGAAGCGTACAGAAACATTATAAAAGCCTTATATAGCAAAGATATTAACTTCCATAGCTACCAGCTCTAAAGTGATAGAACGTATCGTGTAGTTAATTAAAAGATTTCGAAGCATTAAGAAACAAAGAGAACAATTTGGACACATCGTCATTAACATTCACAATATACAAAATAAAGAACAGAAACTGCTTCCGCTATTCTTCGTTGACATTAAACAACAAGAGAACAACTACTTCGACACGAAGTGATAATCGAAATTCCAAGAAACAAAATATTGTAACAACAAAGCAAGATGTGTAAAATGTGGCGATAATCATATGACTGCAAACTGTAAAATAAATGGATTCACACAGACACGGTGCGCTCTATGAAACAAAAATCACCTCTCAAATGATGAACTATTTACAAGGTTTCGAGACGTTCTTGGTTATAATATATCGATTACGCAAAGAATATTTCCTATACCCATGCAGGAATTATAGTTTTTCGGTTTGCGTTGTACATAAAAAAGCGAGCAAAACTATTATCTATATTTTTTCATATTGCAATTATTTCTATAAGCGACAGTTTCTTTATCAAAAATGTATGTACATTAACAAGGACACACATAATTTGCAATTTTCCACTAGTATGTAGTAAGCCATCAACAATGGTTGTTGTTTCTGTACTCAACTTTCTGTTCTTAGCCACATTTTGCAAAGGGGCCAAAGTGCTTGTCGTTATACCGACTCCGGCTTTCAGCCATGCAACCTTTGCCAGTGTCCTATACGAAGAATTGGCACATAGAGGACACGAAGTCACTGCCTTCACCGGATATCCATCCGATACAAAGCATGCTAACCTGAAAGAGATCGAACTATCTAAGCCCATCACCATAGAAACGGACATCACCGAAGCCCTAAATGCGAACAGCGTCCTCATGAACTTCTATTTGCAATGGAAGTTCCTGCAGGCCTGCGACAAAGTCTACACGAATAAAGAGATGCAGAAGTTACTGCTGAACGGTACATTCGACTTAGTGATGATCGAGTGGAACGTCGTGCCGTGTTTTTCCATCTTGGCCGAACACTTCAAGGCGCCTCTAATTGGGATTCGTTCGTTGGGATTGAGATTGGAAGGTTACGATTACATCGCGAATCCCACAAATCCTTCCTACATTAGTATAGCTTACAATAGGCATACGGAGAGTTTCTGGGGACGGCTGAACGATCTGCTCTTTTCGATTTACTGGAGATTGCAACATAACCTCGTGACCATACCAAAAGCTCAACAATTGGTCCAAAAATATTTCCCTTCGTATACGGGCAGCGTCGTCGAAAGCGAAAAGAAAGTCGCATTGATTTTCACCAATACGCATTACGTGATCAACGGAGTTAGACCGAATGTCCCAGCCATAGTCGAGCTTGGTTTACTTCACGTCGGACAAAAGAAGAAACCCTTGACAGAGGTATTCAATTTGCTAATTAATCAATAAATTTGTAAATCATCAATTTATATATTCAGGATTTGAATACGTTTCTGAATGAAAATCCGTATGGCTTCGTTTTCTTCAATTTAGGAACATTGATTAAAACGAAGTTTTTGGATTCGAGGATTTTCCAACACTTTGGTAAGCTGCCATTTAATTTCCTTATAAAATTGGATTCGTCGTTGGATAATTTACCGAGAAACGTGAAAATGGATAAATGGTTTCAGAACGAGGCCATTCTAAGTATAATCAATGTAATCAATGCCTAATAACTAATACTTATATCATAATCTTTTAGCACATCCAAATATTAAATTGTTTATTACGCACGGAGGACTGCTCTCTTTGCAAGAGGCCATTTACCATGAAGTTCCCATGATCGTGATTCCATTCCTCTTCGATCAGCCATACAATGCGTACAGGATGGAAGAATTGGGAATTGGAAAGACCATACAATACCGTGATGTGGGAGGCCCCAACTTTTTAGATGCCATCTTAAATGTTACAGCGGATACAACGTGATTATGTTTTATTGTAACTATCACTAACTAAATACCTTCGTTTCAGATATAAAGTTAATATAAAATACGTATCTAAACTGGTTAAAGACCATATGTTATCTCCTAAAGACAAAGCTATTTGGTGGGTCGAATACGTTTTGAGGCACAGAGGAGCTCCTTACATAAAAAGCAAAGCCGTCCACATGAATTGGTTTACCTACTTATTACTAGATGTTGTTTTCTTTTTAATTGTAATTATTTATTTGATCTGTTTCTTAGCCAACAAATTTTTCACAACCATAAAGAAAATAAAAACTGAGTGAAAATCGATTCCATTTACTTATTTTTTTTTATTAAATTATTGAAGATAATAAAAAACAAGTCATATTGTGCAGTTTTGTTTTATTTTAATTAATTCTAAGATTAATTTAATCGTGAATAACATTTAAGAGACATATTTTATTTATAAATACACAATATTTTTATTGTTAATTTTATATTTAAAAACTTTGTAATTGAAATTATAAGCCAAATTTGGTTTTTTTATAATATCACGTGGTGAAACTGCAATACGCTCGACTACGAAACCTCACCACTATCGCGGGGGCCCAAATATCACAGCAGAATGTATCATGAATCTTTCTGTTTCTTGAGACAAAAAAGGTACGAACTCCCTTTGTGTATTTCTTTGTTTTCGTTGCATCAACTTGCCATATAATTATTATAAAATAGAATGTTTCAAGTAATAATTGAAACCAATTTATATGCCAGAATCAGTAACATCTGAATATAAATTTAGAAATCGTGGTAACATCTCGAAATATATAATTTGAAAACCGGTTTTCTTTCTAGTAAAAAAAAAACCGGTTTTGAATGAATGAATTATTTTAATTAATTGATTGTAATAATTGCAGTCAAAGCAATATTGCCAAATACTATTATTATGAACTAAACAGATAATGGAGAACGTATTATGACTTATTGCCAGATGGAATAATTTAGAGTCATGATAGAAAAATTTGTATACTGAACAGAATATATTCTTAAAGTTTGAAAGCCAATATGTTTAGCATCTGAGCCTTTAGCAATACAAGATGTGAATTTATTTATGGTACGTGATTTGAAAGAAATGATAACTAATGATAAGGTAATGAAATATTTTTAATAAGTTCTTCGTTTTATTTACTTTTATAAATGTGTGGACCACACACCCAATCTCAGTAAAAAAATTTTGGCACTCTACACGACTTAAGTTGGGCACCCCTGGTGTAGGATATTTCTTCCACTACCTTCATTTTTTTTTAATATTCCAAAATATTGTAAGTTTTGCTTTGAGATTTTATTTTAATATATTTTTAACGTTGATATATGTTTAACGTTATAAACAGAAAATGAATATAATATTAATATAAATAGTATGTCCGAATACAAGTTTGGAAAATAAATGATCACAAACGACACCAAGTTGCAACTAGAATGACTACTAACACCAGTGCATGTGTTGAACTAATTAATAATTAAAGTTCATTTCTTTTGTATTTTCAATTTTATAATTGAAAAGAATAGTAAGGGAATTTGGTAAATAAAATTAAACCAAAATTTGATACTGGACTCGATTTTAAATTTTAACTAACCAATTTTGATTTTTTTTAGATTTTAAATTTCAATTTCAACGGAACTGAATCAAAATTTTTATACGAACCGAAACTGGAACGATAAACATTTACTTGGAACGTAACCGTAACTCTCTGCTAACAACTGAAACTTATCTAATTCTTCACGTTTTAATCTCAAGTTAAAGTATCATATAACAAAATTGTTATATAATTTAACTACTGTAGACCGGCATTTTATGAAATAACTAGTTATTTCGTGGAATTCCTGAATTATAACGGTAACTGCGCTATTAAAATCAGAAATTCATTGAGTAGTTTATTAATTTAAATGACAGTTCCTGGTTCTTTGTGTCATGAGTATGAATTATTATATCTATCTAATATATGATTTTTTTTAAATTTATTACCGCTACAATTCTCTTCTAGATGGGGAAACTCAATTATATCTATCTATATTTTGATTGGATATGTTGGATACGAAAATGTTGGAAACAAAGTGACTAATAAATATCACCAACAAATTATTACACATTACATATGTCATTTCGAGTTAAAATTGTCAATGCAATGTAAAGTTTTCTTTGGAGATTTGTTTAAGTGTTAAGTCGATATAAATTACCAAATTCAAAATGCCGAGGGTTTACGACCCCGATTTGGGAAAACGATATGGGAAGCCGGACCTCGAGCGGTTGGGTCTCTTCGTGGAAATGCCCTATATGAATGGCAAGAAATACGTGTCCCCGTTCGAACGTACTTAAGACAATTTAATAATTTCGTTAAAATATGACTTAAATTGTTTTCTGTTGTAAGCGCCGAAGTATCACAAGGGTATGACCTTTCTGAGCGGCGGGTACAAATCGAAGAATGGTACTCAGCACGGCTACTTCGAGGAGGAATTTAAAAGACTGTTTGAAGGCGAAGGAATTACATGGCGAAAACCCAAACAAACGTGCATCATTGGGAGTCACCTTCACTTTTATCACTTAATAATAATAATATTTTTTTAGTGGTAGAAAAAAGAAGTTGGGTCCACTGTCGCCGTTCATCGTGGGCATCAGAGGAAAATCGATCTGCACTCCAGGCGATTATTTTGGAACTTTTTCCGGAAGAGTTGACGCTTTTAGTAATGTGAGAAAGAAAAAACCGAAATACGTATCGCCCAATGCCAACTTCCAAACAAGTAATCCAAAGAAAGGCGGACCCGGATATGCTAATATTTGCATTAATCCTTATCCGACGCACATGTGATTATTTTATCAATTTCCGGTTACATAAAAATCTGTTTGTTCAATATAAGTTACCCAGTTAATTTGCAAATGCATCCGATTTCTGCACAGATTTCTGAACAGATTTTCATGAACATTTTTTAAAAAATTCTATTAATTTGTAATTTTAGGCGCGATCCCTACAAGTACGTGCCTAAAAAGAAGAAACAGAAAAAGGTAGGACCGGTTGAGCCTATGTATACTTCAATTTATCCAGATGCATACTTCACGAAAAATCCGTTTATCGATCCGGAGAGAATGAGGCCAGGTCCGGTATACGTTGAAAGAAAACAGAAGAAAGTGAAGTACAGCAATGATACCTTTATACCAACCGGACCAGCGAAATGGGTAGCCAAAGTTACGAATTAAATGAATTGCGCTTCTTCATTCGTATTTTTTTTAGCCCGGTGGATGTCACGACGGCTGCTTTGATCCGTTCCCCGAATGGAAACGATGCAAGTACGTGAGCATGCTTCAAGCTAATAAACCCTTCATAGGAGACAAAGGCACCTTCTATCCGCAATCGAAAGGCAAGAAGACTTTATTCACTCGTTCCGTCCTCCAGTACAACACTGATTTGAACGTAAATAGTCAAAATTACAAGAAAGCAGTGCCCACCTACACTAAATATCTATTGAACTGTTGAAGATAAAATGAAAGACTGTTTGTTTTTAAATATTTTAATCTAACTCGTAACAGTTTGTTTCTTGGTGTGCATGTGTATAGTATGTTTATGTGTGTTTTGTGTGAACGCGCGTGTTTATATGTTTATTTTCTGTATTAACAAATTCAATCCAAAAAGAAGAAAACCTAAGTAACTAATAACGTTTTTTTTTTCGATGCAAATCAAACAATTAGTAAGTAGCAATTAATAAATATATACAATAAAAATAGTTGCGCGCCAACAGCGATGCCATCTCATGGTTTCGATCCTTTTTGTAAGGATCGAGATGAAATGTTGTGTTGGCGTTCTTTGTTCTTCTTTATATTATCTCTCTCTCCCTCTCTCCAAGGTATTTACAACCTATAATGTACACATTTTAAATTCAAGATAGTTAGTTAACGAGGGATGTTAGAAATCGCTGTATGAGGATTTCTCGAAGGTGACAGGTCGGTACACTTCCTTGGCACCGCCCCAACCCCTCGCAGCTGTGTTGTAGTTCTGAACATTGCTTAAATTATACCTCGTGGGCGGAGTCGGAGGTATCGATTGCGAGTACGATTGGCTGGGTGAAGGGATGTTCTCTATGGGGTTGTTCACATTGTGGGCGGTATATGTCGGCTGAGGGCTGAAGAAACTAGATGGTGGTGGAGCGCTGCTTTCCCTCGGAACGAAGATAGGAGGAGTTGCCGACGGTTTATAGGATGGCGACATCGGAGCTTTTGGTTTGCTCCTAGGTAAAGTTGAAGAGCCTGAAAATGTCATATTATAATCATATTCCCATAAACACAGACCACATACAAAATAGATCTTTCCGTTTATTAACAATATTCTATATTAAAATAATTGGCAATTAACTTAAATATAGGTATTATATAGTTCATTTGGTTATAATTAGTAATAGGAGATAAGTTAGGATTGAAACATGCTATTCTATTTTTATATTTATTGTAAAAACAATTTTTTAAATATATTTATTTTTTGTTAATTTATCTAGTCTAGCAAGCAAAATAAGGTTTTAGAATGATATCAGAAAGCCTTGCCTTGATTTTGACCATTAATAGAAGCAAAAGCAGAGTGTTCCGATTGGAAGCTAGAGTATTTACAGAAGGAGCTGTTTTCTGCGTGCTGGAAACCCTGTTGTTCGAATTCTGGATAGAAGTGTTTCGTTTTCACCTGCGTATTGGCTACATAAAATAAATTATCGAATTCCTTTTCAGCCTGCTGCAGGTAATCGGCCTGCGCTTGAGGACCGGAGTATTTTAGGACTTCGGTCTGCGAGCTAGACCTGTCTATGGACGTTCTACGAGATCCCAGTTTCTCCACGACATCTGGCAGTGGATCTCTGATCTGTTTATATCGCATGATTGGCATGACGTTCTGCTCGAAGTTCTGGATCAAATTCTTAACGGGAACCTTCCTATAATCACAAACATCTTCGCCTTCTTCCAACAAGAGTTCTGTTGCAGGAGGAGGGGTCATCATTAGCGGTTGTGGCTTGTAAACTACTTGAAGGTTTGGTTCAAAATATTGCGTTTGCACTGGCGTCAGACAACGCTCGTTAATAATCTTGAAGGAGGCACCATTCTCGTCTACGTATTGCTCTTCGACCTTCTGATAATCCACTTCATACTCCCTCTCCCTTTGGTAATATATAGCCTCAATCTCTTCGTTCGTTGACTTGGTAATGGTTTCCACTTTTGCCATCTCATTAGTCTTCATTTCAGTGCATATAGATTCTGCTGTTTCACTTGTGAACGCCAAAACCGGTTCTGACTTCTCAATTTTAACTCTGGGATTCTCTATCTGGCTTTGTTGGCCTTGTTCTCGTGCCCTTTTCTGTTTGATGGATTGCCTTCCAACGAGTGCTCGTTTAAACTCAGCGTTGATATCCATCTGACCGAAGAGTGGTCTAGCTCCAATGATGGTTTCGGGTGCCTTTTTGCACCTTGGTCCTTCGACAATATCATCAATTTGCATTCGCCTTTGCTTTTTAACTTCTTGCATTTGTTCCGAAAATTCTTTCTTGACAATCTGCTCCACTGGAGACAAAACTTTGACTTGCTGCTTCTCCTCTTTCGGAGGCGAAACTTTAATGTTTTTCTGAGGAGATGAATCGATCATTTTGGTTTGATTTTGTTGCAGTTGTTGGCTTTGACAAATCGTTTCTTGCTTTACACAATTGCCTAATGTTTGACTTGAAGATGAGAACCCTTCTGCTTGTTGCATGAAACTCTCGGTTTTGGCCTGACAGATTGTCGTCGACGAGGTCGAAGTATCTGCAGCACATTGCTGATAACTGCTTGCCTCAGATTTCATTGCGCACACAGAGTTTCCTTTTTCCTCCCTTACAATTTCCGATTCTTTTCTCATTTCCTGTTTGCTTGTAAATGAATTGTCAGTTTCACTTTGCATTGCACTGGTTGTGAGTTCGTTGCGTTCAAGCTGTACGTTATCGCCAACCCTAGTTTCATTGTATGTAACTTCTCTGGTCTGTACCGGTATTCCTATGCGGACTTTCTTCATTTCGTCCAATTTCTTTTTGACCTCATTGTCATCTGGCAGTTGCGATGTTCTGACCACTTTCGGTTTCATTGATTCACTGACCTTTTCACAGAACTCTTTGTATTTTGGTTCAACTTCCTGGTAAGCCTGCTTAATATCCTTCATTTCAGCAAAGCACTTTTTTTGGGACTCGACCAATTGCTTGGTTTGGTTATCGGAAATGGTAAGCTTATTCAAGTCCACGATTTTTCGTTCTTCCTCTGGTTCCGGTTCTGGCTGTACGGGTTCTGGCTTTGAGGGTTCCTGTTTAGGATTAGTGATTGGAGGGTCGACTGATAATTCATTGGGTATGTAAACTGGAAAAGGAGAACAGGAGCGGCTCGCATTGAAGTGGCCTTTGCTCTCGAACAATTCCGACTGAAGTGTGCGAATCGGGGTAAGTGCATTTCTTCTATCTGTATCGCAATCGCCTAGTGCATAATTGAATTCTGGTTTTTGCGGAGGCGGTGAAAATTTCGGGATCGGCTTGTCCAGAACTGAGGAGAATTTTCGGTTCAACGAGACTTTGGAGTAAGGCTTGGACGGTTTATAGAATGATTTTATCTGTTCAGTAATCGTATATTCTGGTTCTGGAGCGTCCTCTGTTACTTCTTCCTCTAACATCTGAACTTCTGGATTCGGTTCTGCGATTAGAGACGACTCGCTGATGCAGCTCTCGACTTTGAATGGAATTGGACTCGTGCGCATTTTCACAATATCTTTCTCTATAACTTCTGGATTCAAAGTAATATCTTTTATTGCGGGGAAAGGTGACAAAGAACGCTCTTTCTTGGTGATTATTTCGTTACTCTGGAAGGTCTTAACATCTTCGATGACTAAATCTTGTTGGATTGTAACATCGGGGATAGTAGGAAATGGGGATATCGGTCTTTCGACTTGTGGATCTGTTAGGAATGGGGAGACTGATCTGCGTGATTCTTCGAGCTGCGGGTTAGGAAGCCATACGCTACCTATTGATTATGCGAAAGCGTTATAGATTTTAGCGTTTTATGCTAAATATTAGAAAATAATAGGAGAATACGTACTGTACTGTTGCGTCTTCAGAACGGGTTTCGCATTCCAAGCTTGGGGCAAGCTAGGTTTGTAGACATCAACGTTGGTCAAGCCCTTTTGCAGATTATCCACAATTCGGTTGATGCTGTTGCTGTTGTAGGCTGGATTATGTGCGTACCCGTTGGTCGGCATTGCAGACCACGATTCCAAACTATCGTTCCTGAGGGCTTCTTCGTACGAGTTAACAACGGGGGCAACGAACGAGCCCTTGGTGGGGAACGTAGGCGGATGCAGATTCTCAAACGCAGAGTCGACTGAGCCAGTTTCCAGGGCCGCCTCCCAGGGGGATTTGACCAGTTTGACTCTCGGCCGGCTGAAGCGCTCCTAAAATTAGCCAACAATTAAAACAATGCGAGAATTAATTGGCACTGATGCGGTTTGTTATTTAAACGCTTGGCTTTTCCTCACCTGAATCTCGTCCAACTTTTCCTTGTGCTGCATGCGCTGGGCCGTTTCCGGTAAGTAACTCGGGGCCGGCAGATTGCTCAGAGGCGGAAGCGGCGACAGGATCGGAGTCGGAGAAGGCGCAATATCCGTCAACACTTCCTGTTTGGCTCCAATGGTCTCGCCAACCACCCATTTCTCGGACCTTTTGCGTCTCTTCGCAAACAACTCGGCTCCTTCAATTTAAAAAAAATAAATTTTACAACCACTTCCTACATAATAGAACAACGGTAATTTAAAAATAATGCACCTCATATATAAATATAAAAGTACAATGCTTGTATTTTGTACTAAATATACTTTTAATAAAAAAAAAAGTTAAAGCTATATTGTACATCTACATTCTAGATTGTCAATCAACTAGTCTCCATTCTGCTAGATTAATTCTAATTGACTTAGCAGAGGCTAGTTAAAATGATTTAAAAACATATTTTGTATCGATTATTTTTATAATAAATAAATAATTTATTGTTTTTCCTTTTAATAATAGAAACAGTATTTTTTTTTTATATTTTATATGATTTTGTTTTGTTTGGAGTAGTATTAAAAAGTAATAATTAAAGAAGAGTAATTAGTATAAGAATGTAATTTAAAAATAACTCTTGGTATGACTAGTATACATTTACAAAATTTTGTTAAATCAACAGTGTTATAGGAGTATTTCCCTTAGCCAACCTCTTCATCTTCTTCTCTTTCCCCTTCCTCACTTCACTTAGCTGCGCATTTTCGCCAGCCACTGCCTTTGTTGATAAGTTACCTAATCTATGTTATCGGGGTCAGATGGAAAAACATGTGGAATGACTACACAAAATAACTGCTTTCAAATCGGAATCTGGGCGATTCAGTACAAGTGTGTTACGAGAAACCTGGGATTGATATTTGTATTTAAGGGATTAGCCAACCCAAAGCCCGCAAATTACATATATCAGGCAACCCATTGTGCGAATCGTCCGAATGTGTATAAATGGTTGTATATTTATAAAGCAAATATCTTTTCTATTTTTCTAACGTTTCTAATGTGTCAATAATGCGAAAAATGAATGTAATTTGTATTGAAAACTAATTAATAATAATGATAATAATAATAATTTGTGAATACGTAAATATGTAATAAAATAGTAAAGAAAATCTCATAAAGTCTTACCTTTTCCTTTCGGTGAGTTCAAATCCTTTACGATTTCCGCGCAGACGTCAGGTGATAGGGCGGATTCGATGTTAAAACCTTGCTTCCTCAGCGAGTTTATGTCTTGAACTTGACCATGAGGATTCATGACCAGCTTCAGGATCGATTTGCCATCGGGACCCGTTTCCCCATTTCCATTCTGAGTTCCGTTAAGGTCACCTGCAATACAAAATTCATATTTTAAAAATAAACATATTTTTAGAAAAATAATAAGTACAATTAGGTGATTGTCAGATAATTAATGTCAATAAAAAAAATGACAGGCTAAGTGGATTGAGGAAGGCGGAAATTTACCAGAAACGAAGAAATGTCATGGACAAGGGCGGCTTGTTCACAAGGGCCTTACATACATCTTTGTAATTGTCAGTTGGCTTATCTTTATTAGAAAGTCATTTAACTTATAGATACCTTTTTCGAATTGTCAAATTTAATTGTAATTGGTTTAGTGATATCTGTCACCTCAGCTGATGCAAAACATTATTTTTGCACTCTAAGACTTATTAAACAAATACTTGTAATACATTCGAAAGAGCAACATTGGTTAAAATGTTCTATTCTCAAATTTATTCAAATAGTTTTATTACTAGAAATTCACCAGTTTAATCAAAAAGTAATCGAAAATTTACTTATATGAAACAAAAATATAAATAATACCCACTGTATATGGGTAGAACCAACAATAAGCTTCTTTGAACTAAAATTGTTTAATGAATTTCTTTGATGCAATAATTTAAATAGTTTCTGGAATTTAAGTATTGGAATTCCTTTAAAAGCTTATATGTTTATTTATATAAAAATTAAAGATATGATAGATGAAAGGAACAAAGAGCGATATTTTGTGCGCATTCATTCATAGCGCCGCAATAAATTTCACATTGATATGAGTTTGAACATTTTAGACTTACCTTCGCTTTCGTGAACCCACTTGACGGATCTCTTCTTTCTGTTCACGTACATAGACTGACCCTTGCTCGATTTGTTGCTGATATCGCTCAGAGAACTTGAAATTCTTCTAGCCAACTCTACTTGATCCTCGACGGTGGGGTGAAGACCAGACGCGTAGAATGCAGAAGATGCGTACATTTTTTCTGCAAAGCAAACACGATCAATCAACAGTGTACGTGGATATTTGGCACTTTCGCATTCGAATTGTTCGAATGGTGCCAAAGCATCCGAGGCATTGGGCAACACATTTCTCGAGTCTACTCACTGTTCTTCGGTGTAATTTGCGGGGCATCGTCGGCCGGCGTGAAAATCTTCTCCAAGTTGACCGGCGGTTTGTTTGGATTAGAGTTCTCATCCTGAAAGGAGTACAGATTCATTGTTCAAACAAGAATGGCAATGGAGAGATATTGTCTATAGCACATTCGCACCAAGAATGTTTTATATATAAAGAAGTTCTAGTTTTGGCTGCTCAATGACAAATGATTCAGATGATTCGGGACGGAATTTGGGCCCGAAAGTGGTGTGCCTTCGCAACACTCGGAAATACGCATCTCCCATCCGTTTTTCTGAATCATTCACATCGCTAGACTTACTGCTATTCACCTACTCAGTTCATAATACTTGTTCCTTTAAAACGTGTAGTAGTGTGTAACTTATGTTTCTAAAATTATAATATATTGGTAAGAAATACACGAAAGTATATTCATTAGCTCAATTGCCTATTAAGCGTTGTCTATATGTATAAACAAATAGAAATTCTAATGATATATAATTATTTATTTTCTACATTGTTTTTGTGCTATTTTCTAAAATATATATTTCTTAATTTTATTTGATTATTTTGACGCAACAGTGTTTTAAGTATTTCAGTCTCCAAATCTTGTTCTTGTTTTTTGTTCTTTATTAATAATAAATAAGTTCTTGTATTTTCTTTAATTGGAAAATACATTGTTATATATAATGTGATTTGCGACGCAAAATTACAGTATTCGAAATTACTTTTTAGTACATTGTTCAATAAACTATAAAGATTTTCGTTTTTGAATTATGCATATTATTTCAAGGTCGTCATGAAGTTGGCTCGGCATTTTAATTTTTAAAATATAACATCCGAATATTGCATTGAAAATAATTTATATTAACCCTTTCATACCTTCATTTTCTCGCTGCTCATTATCTGACTTTTCCTCAATGTCTCCGTCAATTTCATAAACCTTGAATGAACCTCGAATTTTCTTTAAATTTCTTTAATCATCAGATATATAAATAAAAACAAACATACTAGAAAAAACACCCAGTGGGTGGCAATTGCGTACATAAATTTCAAAGAGCTATGGTTCATAAACCTTATACTTTACATTCCAGACAAAATTATTCTTTGTATAGAAAATATTTATATTTTATCTAATATATATTTTAGGCTATTATTTGCCAGCTCACACAGCACAATAAAAACTTAGCACTTAGACACAAAAAGATTCAAATATGGTAGAAGTTAGTAACGAAATATATTTACAATAGTTTGTCGAGACTATATCTAGTGTTTTATGCTGAAAACCAGTATTCAGTTATAAAATAAAACGCTCTACATATTACAGTGTTAAGTCAAATTGTTATTATTTGTACTTTTTCTTATACAAATTATCGAATACTTTAATTATAATAATTTAAAATTGACTAAAGATAAAGTTTTATTCTACCTAATACCATTACTATCAAATTATATTTAAATTTTTGGCAGAAAGACTTTAATAAATAGCACTTTTTTTTATTTTATTGTTTTAAATTCAAATGTTTCAGAAGAAATAATATTCCTGTAAATTAAATATCTGAACCAATTATTAAATATTTAATTCCACCTCTTACTTCTTCACATTTTCTTTTTTTTGTAGAATATAAAAGATATTATAGATTTATATGTTATTTGTATTTACATAATTCAATAACAAAATCATTTAAAGAAAAATATAACAATATTTGTCTTTACTTAATACATATAGTTTTGTTATTTTTACATGATTTTATTCTCTCTTGTTACAACAAACAGTATGACCTGAGGATATATGACAACGCAAATGTCGGTGTCGAACACACAAATATATCTTATTTGGTTTGTGGCACCTAAAGTATTCAGTACTTCAGATACAAATGCAGGAGCATGCATATAGAACATGACTTTATATGTGTTTAATTATTGTATCCTTTACGGTAATCGAGACGGTTAACCTCAAGGATATTCGAAAAGAAAATCAATTGTAAACAATTATCATACTATGCAAATCATCTTCAAATTTTAGGTCTTGTAATGCCATATTTTTGTTGTATTTGAAAATAATTTAACTTAATGTGTAGGTATACCTGGATATGTCAAAATACCAACTGAACTGACTGTGAAAGATAGCATCGATGAAATGAGAACAATTTCTTTGGAACAAATTAAGTGGATGGGTATCACCAATACATGTGTCATCAAAAACTGCTTCTAGTGTAAAACTATCATAGAATCATGGGTGACATCCAATAACCAAGTATTCAAGGCCAAATCGAATGTTAAGATAATTTTCATCGAGTCCACGATTCAACGTATCTTGAGCAGCAACATTTTCAAATGTGGCTCCATTAATAAGAGCGTCATCGTATTCCCATATCACCATAGAGCACGTGAGAAGTGCTCCAGAAAACTAAAAAGGTGCATTGATTGCAGAAGTGTCATTACTACTAAAGTTTCAATGTTTGTTGGTGAAAATTTTATTATCGATGATTATATGCTTCTAAATTATTGTGATATTTATGTTGAATTTTATATTTAATTATGATGTAATTATGATACATATGATGCAAGCGAAACTTCGTTATATGTTGTGTTGTTATGTGTTGCTCACAACACTCTGCTCAAAATTTTGAACTTTATTATCAAACAGTTGTATTTAGAAATGCATGTGTTCATTTAAATCATACTGCATTTCATGATGAAAATGAAGTGTAGAGGAATCCTTGTGCTTATTTCTTCACTTGCACTGGAATATGTTCACATCGAGATTATCGAATCACGCTAAATCTCTGTTTATAAACGCTCGGCATTAGTCTATTAACAGATCTGTCACTCCTACACGCACTTGCCAGAATGATCTATGGGAGACTCATAGGAGATATATTTTTGTGTATTTTAAACTGAAAGTAGTCTGATTTATTATAGCTTAAGATTTTGCATTTACAAGATATTAGTTGTTTCCGGAAATTACTTTACTAAGTTAAGTACAAAGAAAAAAATGATGAACATTTGCATTTTGATACAATTTAAATTTAAGCTTGACATAAAGTAAAACATTTTAATTTAATAAATAATAAGGGGTTGGCAAGAAATTTGTGTTTTTAGAAATAGATAAATAGTGTTAAATTTCTAAAGAACAAGGTTTTGAAATTTGATACATGTCACTTTTAGCTTACTTTAGAAACAAAATGACTAGAAGTTCTATAAATCAAAATGGAAAATATTTAATTGAAGAAAATTCATTACTTTCTTGCCAACTCAATATATTTTTAATATATAAAAGACTTTTAAATAATAGTTTTTCAAATTTTCTTTTTTAAAGATGCTTACATAATCTTGACACTTCAGACACTTCATCAATTTATCTTCAGTAAAATTTGGTTCTCCAAATAAAAATAGAACACGAACAAGATAGATAGTTTAGTACCAAAATAATGAAAAGATAAGATTCTAACTGTTTTGTTAAATCAATATTAACTAATAGAATAATCATTGGATTAAATCACTAATATGTAAGATGCACAGAAAATCAAAAAATGAGAATTCTTGATCAATTTTAGTTGCTTTAAATTTACAAATTGTTAAATTAAAATTTTATGAAATATAACTAATAATTTTTATAATAAAAAAATAAAAATTGTGCATGATTTAATTCATATGTAATTGGTAAACACGTAACAGTCACAATTAATTAAGTGTTAATATGGGCTTATAAATACTGCGTTTCAATAAAGTTCAAATCATTAATAATATCTTTTCGAAACAATACCACGAATTTTGAAATGCTTGAGACTTTGAAAATTTACACTCCATTAAGAAGTAAAAAAAGAATTTGGCTCAAAAATACAAAAATTGTTGCAATTTATGTGATCAATTTATATAAATTAATTGAAGCTTCCACACTTTGGTGGTGGCTATTTACGAGGTGATCAAATTAATTGAGTAAAACCAAAAATTGGACACCAGATTGGGATAAAGTTTGTATACTTGTTGCAAAACGATCTCTTTTTTGTCCTACTTTTAATCTCTATATATAATTTTATGTTTTTTTCTTTAAATATTTCATTAAATGTATGATTTCTATTAATTTACAATAAAAAAATGTTTCGTAGCAACTTTGCTTAATATAAATACCTAATAATTTCAAACAAATATTATTCATGTCTCATTTCAATTTATTTGCTTTAAATTAATGTAGATTTTTAACATCAATTATAAATTAAAGAATTTGTTTTCGCAACACCAAAAAATTGAGCAATTATAATTACGAATTAATTAAATAATTCAATATTTAATAAAATTGATCTTTTTTTATACTAACGCAAGTTTTACGGATATGTTGATTGTCTAAATAGTTGTGATATTTTAACTAATTAAATTCCATCTAAAATTAATATTCATACTGCACATTCCACAACTTTCGTAAACTGTGTACCAAAATGGATCAATATCAAAATATAAGTATTAAATAAATCTATTAATATATCAAAAAAATAATGACTATAACTTAAAATGTTACGTTAGATATAAGATTAATCTTATATGAATTTAAAATGTATATTTTGTAATATCACAGACTTGTGTTACGATCAATAAATATCAAAGTGCACTTGGAATTTATTGTTTTAATACACCACTTTTAAATTGAAAAGAAAGGAGCACAGAAAGAAAAAAAGGTAGACTCACGTACTTCAAATCTCACTCGTTTCTCGCTCTTCTTCCTCCTGACCGTGCAAATTTCAGCGCCCAAGAACATTTCAATGATGAAACTGCCTCACTTCCTGGGTGAAATTCGCAAAACATTCGAATACGCGTGTAAGATTTTCGTTTCTCTTTTTTTTATTGTTGTTCTTTCTTCTCAGTATTTTGTAGTTTTTTTTAGTCGGGAATAAATATCGGGTGGGCGCTATCCGTTGGCAAACGTTCAAACTCGCGTTCTAATTGAATCTGCGTCAAAACTCTTATTTTATAAATGTATTCGAATTATAATAATAATAAGATCTCGCGTGGTTCGTTTTATCGACGTCGGGAAAAAAATGATGAAAACGTTCCGTCCAAACGAATCGGATCCGCGAAACGAACAGAAATTTTCGTTCTAGCGGTCCACGGCTAATTTTAGCCCGTGTTTTGGCTAAAATGAAGTAATCGACAAATGCTGTTGCGAACGCAACAAATCCGAGTTTTGCTGCAGCAGAATAATGAAAGGCGCATGGGGGAAGTGGGATGTCGGACGAAGTAAATTGACCGGGAGGCAGGGAAGGATTAAACGAAGGATTTGCTTAAAAATACATTTGACCCACATTTTTTTTATTGATTCTTGTTTTATTTTTCTTCATTCGTTTCGATTATCGACTACTAAGAAGACACCGACATTGTGTGTGCTTCTTATGTAAACATTATTTCTTAATAAAACATCGGAACGTATGCCTTATTTTGTTCATAATCAGGGAACATTTTTTCACAAAACTACACAAGAAATTGAATCTGACAATATTTCATCAAGATTATATGATAGATTCGTTTAAAAAAATGAACTAACAAGTTTAAAGGATTTCAATCCAAAAACCAATATGTTGAGGAATGGTCAACAAACTTCACTTAAATTGCTTGCAGTTGACAATTTTAAAGTGCAAAATAGAATGGAAATATTTTTCTTTAACAATTGAATTTACAATGAAATAATTGAAAAATATTATTTCTGTTTGAAGAAATATGAAGATACAAATGGAATTCCGTATCACTTTTGGTCTATGTTTGCACAATAAATTTAACATATTTGTTGGTCAAACACTAACCGAAAGTTTAATTTTATAAACCGTACATCTTACACGATACTAATTTTTGACTTTTTTTAATCAATAAATTACTTCACTCTTGGAAGAGCCTTACTACTGACTTATCTTTATTATATGTAGTACGTAAAATTTCTGAAAAGCAGTCTTTTCATAAGAAATTCAATAAATAGATCTGCGTTTCTCAAACTTTTTAGTTTGTTACGTTTTTTTTATTTAATTGTAGCATATAATATTATAATATAAAATTATTATTTAATAAAATTTCCTTTTAATTGATATATTTTGCAGCTATATTTCTAAACAATAAATTATGAACAAAATATATTATATATTCATAAATTTAATACACTTTATTTATTAATTCTTGTTTATTCATTCTGCTATCATCACAATAATTGTAGAAACTTTATTTTATATGGTGTTGGAGCTATTGTAGAAGTAATAATTTTATTTTAATGTATTTTTTTTTAATGAAATTCCGATATTATTTTTTAAACTTGCGTTTAGAAATATTAAATTGTCATCTTTAAATAGCCCAAGTAAATATCTCTTTTCGTAATTAATATTGATTAATTTTTTTTTGTAAATTTCTTCTGCATATTCTCATTATTATTTTAAAAATAATGGAGTAAAATACATTTCTAATAAATCCGCACAAAATGAGACTTGACTGTATAAAGGAAATAATCGATCAATTGAATTGTATATAAGAAAAATAATTAATTGTGCTTAACATTTTCAAACCGGCCTGTAGTGAGCCCGGACTAATGGAAAGCTTGAAAGTAAATTTCTCTTCAAGTTGTTCATATAAAACTTAGGTTTACAACGAGACCTTGCTTAACGAGCACCTCGCATAACGAGCATTTTGATCAACAAGAAAAATGAATTTTAAGGAAAAAGACTCACTCAACGAGCGACGTTTCGCATAACGAGTGGCGATGAGAAGAGAAGTACCTGATTGCACTACTGCTACATCATTTTTAAAACTTGTGTACACATGTGTATTTTTGAATATGTTTCACTATTCGAGTAAAAATCCGAATATTTTGGAACGGATTAAACTCGTTAAGCTGTTATTTTAGCACATAACTCCCATTACTAAGATCTAGACTTAAAAAGTCCAAATTTAAAATATCATTACTTTGTTAATATAATTTATTAAAAAAAGAAGCATAATACTACATAAATCATAATAAGTCGATTATTTCATTCAATTGTGATTTACATTTACTAGCATTACGTTGTAAAAAATATATATTAATTTTAAATAATAATATGTACTTTTTAATAATAAATATAATAATTTAGTTAAATTCATTAAAATATAGTTTTTTCTTTTTAATATAGACTGTAAAGTTCAAATCTCGTGATTTCCTTATATAAATATAAAATGGACTCATTTATTAAAAATAAATAAATACTATTATTCTAAATAAACAGGAATTAACAATACTTTTGATGTTAATAAATTTACACTAATTACTTAAAATTGTCGACTTGAATATTGTTTCTTAATCAAAAATGTATTATAAATTACTCATAAAATTACAGCACACAAATATTTTCTAATATTCACTTTTGCATAAATAATATTCTAGGAATAGTTAACAAATATTAAAATAGTTAATAAAATATTAAAAGAAATATTCACAAATAATTAACAAATACTTAAAGAAGTTGTATTAAAGCTTAATGCAAAGATTCTCATCTATCTCTTCTATTAAATTCGTGAGAGTAATGCCAATATCTTCAAAAGTGGGCCGATCTTTCGGGGAGGTCTTCCAACAATGATCCATCAGTTTGTACAAATTACTGGTGCAATTTATAGGAATATCTATCCTCTTTCCATCAACCAGAAAGTTAACAACTTCCTTGTTGTCCAAACCTAAATATGGATAGCCTCCAAGTGTAACAATTTCCCACAGCATAATCCCGAAACTCCAAACGTCGCTCTCTGATGTATAGATAAAACGTGTTATGGACTCTAGCGCCATCCACCTCAATGGAACCTTTCCATTTCCTAACTGACAATAGACGTCATCGGCATAAATATCACGGCTCAATCCGAAATCGGAAACTTTAGCAGTTCCGTTCTCGCAGATCAAAATATTTCTGGCTGCCAAATCGCGATGCACCATTCGCATCTTACCCAAATGGATCATCCCTTCGGAAACCTGTTTCGCCAAGTGCAGAAGCGAACGCATCTTAGGCGCTTCGAATTCGTCTCCGCGTTCCATCAAATCATTCCAAATGGATCTCAAATATGCAAGCAGATTACCATTCGCGCAAAACTCAACAATTAGCAGCGGCTTTTCAGTTTGATGACTATATCCAATCATGGACACGATGTTAGGATGTTGACCAACGGTTTTCATTATTCTAATCTCCTCTTGAAACTGCTTGAGGATAAAATCCTGCGAATATTCTTTTACAGTTTTAACGGCAACATTGATTTCGCATCCGTCTCGATTGAGAGTGGCCCTTTTAACGATGCCGAAGGCGCCTTCCCCCAGTATCTCCTCGATATGCAGATCGTCTGCATTGATTTCCCAAAGGTCTTTAGTGTACAAGTCGTTAAAAGCGAATTTAGAATTGAAACTGAAAATTAACAATTTGGACCTGTACTTGCACAGTATCATGAGTGCTAGTACTAGTACGAAAAACGCTATCATTCCAACAAAGAGTAAGGTGATCTTGTTACTTTTAGTCTGCTTAATCAAGTTGAAGGAACGCTTTTCAAAAACCTCCTCACTGCTTCCATACATTGTATAAGCGGTTATAAACACCTCATAGTACAATCCTACGATAACAGACCTGAACTTGACGTGGTTTATGTCTCCCGTCACGTTGGCGCTGAAACTAGATGTATTCTGTTGTAGTTCCATGGATACTAAAATGATTAAGTAATAGTCCGGAGTTTTATCCGGTTTCGTCCAGCTGACAGTGATATCACATAAGACACCTTCCTTCATTTCCTGCAGCACGGATTCTTGAAGTATTAAACCAGTCGGATTTGCCGGTTTGCAATAGTTATCGTTGAAGCATTTTGGCATGGTAATGTTACTCCACGTTCTTTCTCCTTCTCTCGTCATCCACGCGTCAATCCCGGATATACCGAAAGAGTAATCGTGATCCAGCTCCAAGTCGATAATTTGCAAGCTAAAATTTCCTCCCGGTTCCAACATTTCCATCTGAACGTAATTCTCTCGTCCGATTATAACCAAATGATAAAAGCAAGTCAGATCTTCGGCCGGCTGCCATGTAACATCAGTAGCGAAATACCTCCCATCATCTTCCTGCATTCGCAGTTCACCCATTTCCAAAGTAATAACTGGAAGAGGTTTATGGTCCGCCTCCCACGTTAGCACCCAATCAGAGACAACCGGTCCGCTTATTAACTTCGATTCAACGAACGTCCACCACACCTTAACTCTGTATTCCGCACTGTACTTTAAACCCTCAAAAATGAACACATTCGATCCGTGCACCGAAACGTTCCTCGTTTCGACACCTCTTTCCTCGATCTTCACCAAATAAGAAGCGTTCCATCCAACATCCGGCATCTTGAACGTCAACAAGTTATGCGCTTTGCAGTAGACTACCGGTTTTGAGAATTCTTCCGGTGTCTCAGACGCTTCGCACGGTCCGCAATCCGCACTTTCCCACTTGCACTTTTCCGCGCACATCATCTCCATAAGGTCACTGGGTCGGGCCACGTTCACCGAAACTAGGCCGCACAGGACAAATAGATGGAGAAACATCGTCGCACCAGACTCTGGCCCAAATGCAAATACCAGTCAAAGAACGAATGTATATAGTAGGTATTTACGTGTATAGTATTCAGGTACAAAAGGATAATTACGTTTTAATAGTTTCCGAGTGGGTAATATAAACCTCAAATTATTCTTTTCCTTTATTTTTGGAATTTTGCAAACGGGTTTTAACAGAATTCTATTACGACAGGTTTTCTTGAAATTTATTTTGAAGACGACATTCAATTATTTGCTTGCCTTGTGAGTCGACATCGCCAGACTGATTCTATCAATCACTAACATATTTTTTTTTCATAAATTTTGTTTTTAAAAGATAAATAAATACTATTTCTGTAAATATTATTTTCATTTTAAAGAAGGTTTCATCAAAAATTAGAAACGAATTACATAAATCACAAAGATTCATAGAAAATATTATAATAAAAAAATATTAATTTGAGATAATAAATATAAAAAATTCCGAAAAAAGAAAAATTTTATTTTTTTGTTTTATATTATGCTAATTACAAAATAATGTATTGTTTTGTTTTGTGAAGTTCTTTGTATATTGCACTTGCACACATTTAATATCAATCACTTCTATAATTTAGAATAGCAGCCAATAAACATATTTAATTATAAGAAAATGTAATTGATTTGCAACAAAACTGTTTAACATTTTCAGTTCATAAAACGTCTTGTAATAGAACAAGAATTGGAATTTGGCAAATTATAATGATCTTATCAAAATTCAATACATTCAATAAAATTAAATTTTTATTCATAATTCCTAAGTGTTTTCTACATTCTTTACTTTGGGTAAGCAATGTATAAAATGCCGAATTCAGTGGCGTAGCTGCATGATGAATGGGACTACAAGTGTTGGGCTTGGCTTAGATCAGTGATGCATCTTCAATATTCAATATTCAATAGCAGTAAATATAAGTTTATTGAATAGATATCTTTATATATTTTGCAACTATCTAATCTAATGGTGACTTTTAGGTAATGTAATTTGGATTTCCATTAGCATTGTCAATATGTTGCAAAACAAGCAGTATTTTCGCATTTTATTTCCGAAAATGTAACACAAAGAAGAAGTGTATGGAGAAAATGCACGTTACATTAAAATTGGTTTACGAAATTTAAGGTGATAAGAATTGTGAAGACCTTGAATGCACAATTAGACCTTTCGTAGTTGATGGAAATTGCAAGAACTCTTGTCTGGTTTATAAACTATTCAGTCAGTTTTAAAAATAGAAAAGCTCGTCCGTAACATATACAAATTTAAACTAATATATTATGTACATGAACATAAATTTCATTTAGTTCAAATTCAATATATCTTCAAGTAATATGTATGATTAATTATGATTAACTTAAATAGTATAGATTAACAATAATAGTATTGTGAACAATAGAATAAGAGCTTATTAATATATTTTTGAATGACGTATTATTTGGCTCAATATCACTTTTGGCGTATGTTTTTATTATTTGAGAAAGAAATTCATTTATCTCGATAGCATTAGAGTATCAAATGTTACATTTGGCAAGCACAAATAAAGTCGCGAGATTGGATGGTTCAAATTTTAAAATGTATATTATTATTATCATCGCCATCAATATGATTGTATGAATCTTGTTGCTCCCTTTGTCCAGGCCGCCCACCGCGGATGACCTTGAATGGGGTGTTAAATATAGAAAACAAGAGTTACGACCAAAATAACCGGCGACATGTGGATCTGGCCGATGGCCAATGGGAGCGAAAGACTCGGATCTCTGTGTGTTTTTCGCTCGTCGCGCTCTCTTTTTTTCTTTCTTCGTATTCCTCGTTCTCTCATTATTACGTCTTACTCATTTCTCTTACGTCCACCAGGCTATTTGTTGCACTTCTTATTTAACATGTATCCAATTACCGGCGCGGACTAATTAACACATTTCCTGGCTGTTAAAGAGATAACGTCCATTTTTCACGCAGGTTCCATTTTTAGATAGGAATATCCATCTGGCGCTTTGATAATGCTCGAGCTTACATAACACTGGATTCGAAGGCAGAGGAACGAGCAGTGTTTTCAAAATTGCTTATGGAAATGATAATCTTACCAAGCCAATTTTGAAAACTCTTTGGGTGAGGTCGGTGAGGAACTGCCTCTTGTTCGGGTCATTCCTGTCGGAGGGTTTGAAACCCCTTTGACTCTCGATGACCTCGGTTATGCTCTGCGATTTCTTCAGGCCGTAATTGACTGCCGGAGATGGCCAGTAGTTGGATGTTGTAGGTGCAGAGACCTGCTGCTGTCGATTGCTGCTCTTCCATGTGAAAGAGCTGCTCTTGTTCATGGAGTAACTGCTCTGCTTGATTTCCCTCATCTTTGCACTCGGGTGGACCACTGTTTTTTTTTTGCAGATTCTCACCACTGGAGGCACATTTCGCGAAGATGATCCGCTTATCAGTAAAAGTATTGCAAGTTGGGCAACAACAGTAATAATACCGCGGATGCTGCTTAGGCGCACGTCGGTAGCAGCAAGCAAGTTAAGTAAGTAAGGGGCTCGCAGCGAACAGATTTGGAAACCGTCTGGACGTTTTCCAATTTACAACGAATGTTTGCTACCTATCAACGGCGTTCAAAGCAATCGGCCTTTGTTTATATTAAAAGTAACAAAAACATAGGATCCTATCGCAGGAACAGAAAATAGGCAGCTATGATTCTCTTGATATGCCGTACTTTCAGCGCTCGTTACCAAGGACGATCAACAAGTTTTGTTCTCATCATTTTTATAACGCAAAATCCTAATATCCTCAATACTGTGCATGTGCGTACATTTACACAAATACGTGTTAAAAATAGCACCTATAAATTGTAACATAACTTCGCATCAATTTAATAGAGTCTAAAGTCCAGAATCTTCAATATGTTTACAACAATTTAACAATTTAAAATCAATTGTTTAAATTTAAAAAATATGTTTACAGAGGAACACTGGACCTTAACGAATTTAATCCATTCCAAAATTTCCGAATTCTTACTCGTATAGTAAAACATATTCAAAAATATACATAATCATTTTGCTTATCGAGCGAAATGCTCGTTAAGCGAGGTTCCACTATATATGACAGAGGTGGCCAAACTGTGGCTTGCGAGCCATTATATATATTTTATATTATGATTGAGATTTTTTTAAAACTATTATACCAAAAAATTTAGGCGCGGCTCTCAATATTTTCGGATAGGTAACAATAGCTTTTGCTGCAAAAATTCTGGCCACCCTTGGTATATGATATCAGTTCACCCTGATACTAGTACATTACTTTTCATACTATACTGATCAATTTTAATTTTCTTCAGTTTTTTTTATACGTTTAAATTTGGAATTGTTTCTGATTTTTTTATTCCTATTTTTTTTTTCCAAATAATGAATATCTTGAGAAACTGAATATATGAAATTAAATTATAATCGATCACGACAATAAAAATATTGTAGTCCTATGAGAGTTACAGCAATAAAATGTAAAAATATTTTGTGTAGTTGAAAAAATAACTTCCTTATTATTCAAAGCATTAAAATGATTGTATTTAATGGTTGTTGCAACTAATTAAATACAAACATGTATATATTTTAAGATACAGCTTATTAAAATAATATATTGCATAAGCCAAACACTAGTTGGACGCGAATTATTTATTTCATAAGAGTTGGCAAAATCATTCCTAAATTAAAGCATAACATTGAACAATAATGCCAGTAACTCAAAAGCATATAAATAATTTGATATTTTACATCTTAACTCTAAACGCTGTGTTGTTTTTATTATTACCCGTCGTCCTCCTTTAAGGCGGTTTCTCGAAGAGTGTCCTCCTTTTTGATATTTTATAGATGATATTAAAATCGATGACAATTGTCTGGTTGAAGAAATTAGAGACTAAATGTATATATAAATTTTGATAAATTAGAACAGTGGGAAAATCAACATGTTGAAATTGATAAAAGATGGATGGAATTATTTAATTATTTCAAAAATGAACACATACCATATGTGTACATTGTACTGCCCTGAAACTTATGCACTTGAAAGAGTTTTTTCAATTGGTAATGATTTTTCGACAAGTGAGATATCAATATTGAATGTCGATACTCTACTGCAGCACTTACCGTAAAATTTTATATTATTCATAATTTAATCTGAAATTCGCGATTAATTTGATTTTTTTTTCATTAAATGTTTTAATAATTATTGGAATTGTGAATATTAAATATTTCTAGTATATTAATTTAGGAATCTAAATATAACTTTTATCAAATAACTTAAATGTGTAAATCCGAATTCACCAAAAATGTGAAGTGTAAATGCTTCAGTTCAAACTATCTGGATTTTGCACAAAAACAATATATTTATATTTTATTTTTCTCATTTGATAATATTTCAATGTAACAAAAAACATAGAATTCTTTTATAAAACATTAGTTTCTTGATCCTCTCAATCATCTTATACTTTTGCACAAAATGAGAAATATTTTATAACTGAAATTATTTTGGTTTCCTTTCTTCAAAGAATTTAATTATATTAGGCTGGAAATAGTTAACAGCATTTTGTGAGGCGTTTCGAAATTACATTTATTATGTTCATGGAGTTTCAATATTAACAGAATAGATCAAATAGATATATAATATATTTTTAAAATATAGATTCCAAAATATTAAATGCATCTAAAAACATATTTGTCAAGATTATAATGCGGGAAAATGGTTGAGAAACGTTACTATAGAATTGAAAACACGTTGCATATTTGCCAATGTTTGTTTAAATTTTTTCGTTTAAATGTTGAATACAAATAGCAATAAATTATTTTAGTTTATAATATAAAACTTACATATGTAAGAAATATTGATTTCTAATTTAATAAAAATAGAGCTATGAATGTAGTAGGTCGTTTTATATGTATTGATTATTGTTAATTACATCATTGAAATAATTTAATAAATTCTTACTTGAATGAATTTTGATTTATTTATAAAGAATTAATATGTATGTTTGTTGTTTTTTTTTGTTAATGTATTAAAGTTTTATTAAAACATATTTGTATATATTGTAAAAAATATTTCTTTCGAATAAGAATTGATATCAAATTTTAAAATACTAGTAATTTACCTGTTTCTATTTAGCATTTACGGATAAAATAAAATCTCAATAATTTTGAATGTCCTGATTCTCACCATACCATAGGAAGGAACAGCTCTCAAAAAGCTGTAAAAACTTACCAATGTAATCGAAACGAAATGAAGTAAATTCTCATTTATAGCTACATCAACATATTCCAAATCTTTAACTATTTAAATTAAATTGTAAGTTAAATTAATAACATGTTTATGACTTGAATACGAGGTGCGGCATACCATGTTTTTCACTAATAATTCTTCGAGGATGTGCTACGAAGAACATTTCGAGTTTATTATTTCGAACTCTAAATTTAAAGACCTGTTTATTATTGGTGAGAGAGACCGGAGAAATAATAATCTCATAAGTAATTTATAACATCGTTGCATTCGTTGTGCATAAACAAATTGGTTCAGGCCTGTAATTTCTACCAGCTGGCAGAATGAGGGTTGCAGTGGCGGGGAGGAGGTGTAACGGAGTGAAACAGAGCTGACGGACGAATATAGAACGGCGAGAGGCGAAGCCAAAAAACCTACATTAAATACATTATTCCTCGGCTTCGGGATTGCGAGACGTTAGAACTATATGTAATCGTGAAAATTCATGCGAAAACTAAAGTGCTTTTATTTTTCGCATGTTTCGAGAAAAAAACGCAGCAATATTCATGCGTATACTTCAACATTTATATGCAGTTTTAATGACTTACAAGTTTAATACACACGCATTAGAACGCGTTTCATAAAATTTTGATGTATTTTCGTTTTTTAATGTGAACAGAATTAGAAATTAATTATAAATAAATATAGAAATAAATGTATTTAAATAACTTTAATATATTTTTCAATTCTATGTACTTCATTAATTATAAAATTTCGAGCGCAAAAACCGTATTTATGAGACTCTATATAAAAATACTCTCTGTTAAATAATAATGCCGGATCTCAAATCTACTGATTCTTTTTACAGACATAGAAAAATAAATCACGTTTGATGATTTAAAAGTTATTTTGACATACATTTCAGAAAAAAATGTATTATGTTTATAAAATCTAAATTAAAATCTTCCTGTCTTCTTTTGAACCTTTTTTTTAATGATTCGATAAATATATAACATTTTTATATTATTAAACTGATTTCATTCAAAATAGAATTCGGAGAAGTTTATACAATAATTCAGTATTTAAGAGTTTAAACAAGAAAACCAATGTGGAATAAATATAATATCAAGCTTACGTCAATTCGTGCTAAATATATATTTTTAATATTACAAACAATAATTGAGAAAAATAAATGCAATATAGAACTTACGTCAATTTGTGCTAAATATATATTTTTTGTTATAACAATTTATAGTTAAGCCAAAGTTCATGAAATATGCATGAAAGTTGCTTGGATGAATAGTTTTAATGAACATATAAATAGTTTCAACATTAACATTATTAACATAACTTTTGTTTGAATTTTTCTTTATTTTTTATTTATAATTGTTTGTGCATTTTATCAAATAACTTACTATCAAATTATATCAATATTTTCTTATTAACATACTGAATTTCAAAGATTGTCAGACCGACGTTTTCGTATTGTATTTTAATTCGTGTATACTTTATTTCTTACAATTTTACGTTATGTCTAACAACGAAGCCTCAATATAACGAACAATTTTGTAAAAAAAAAGTCATTTATTTGTTAGGCTAATGCATCATTCTAATCCTAACACGTTGGACACGTCAAATCCTGTCAAAGTTGTGTATGTTAGTATTTTTTTGGATTTGAAATATTATATTATGAATACTTGACGTTTTGCATGCATATGTAAGCCAGACCTCTAAAAATACATTAAAATGGACTAGCAGGTTAAAATATCATAGAATTTGGATCACATTTAGATAGCACGCTCTGAAAATTCATTCACAGAGTACAAAGCAACTAAATATTCCTGTAGTATTTTAATATATACTAATTATATAATCCAGCATTAATAGTTATAATATAATTAATGACATACTATTTATTTATTACGAAAATTTTCTATATGAACTGATTTCTTTAAAGTTTGTTTATTATTATATTTTATTCTTTGTAAGAAAATTTTCATCAACAATATCTATCTATATAAGAAACATCGAAGAAAACAGTAAGATTGAATGTCAAACACATTTACGTATATCTATGAGTTAAAACATTCTTAATTAATACGTTTTCATGATTTCAAATGACTTTAAATAAAAGCAGCCTATCTGCTCCTATTATTAGGTAACTAAGTGATTTTGTTATTTTCTTCAATTGTAAAATGTAACATGATGCATCAAATAAATAATAAATGTCAATAATTAAGAAACATATACTAGATTTTTTGAAATCGTTACATTCCGACACAGAATTATATACCTCAGTTCATTTTACCTCTTATAATGAAGCGATATTATATTAAAAATCCAAAGGACGGCACTAGTCAAAACATAACTTATTTAACATACCAACAGAATCAACGTATATTTCTTTTATATTTGTTTTAGTTTACTTACAAAAATAAGGTCGTTATAATTTATTGGAGTGACAAATGTACATAATATTCGCAGTACTTAAGTACATGTAGCGCCATCTCTGATATAAACACGACAACTATTAAATCAAGTAACGCAGATGGCGTACATTACAGAAACACTCTTCGTAACATATTCGATAAACGCCAAGTTGGAATAAGTATTAAAATATATTGTTTTTGCAGTTAAATGATGATTTCAAATTCGTATATCAAGCAACTTATAAATTGAAGCTTACCTGCTCGTCGTCATCTTGATGGTTCTGTTGGTGCAATTGGTGAAGTTCCTGGATCATCTGAAATTCTAGCTATATAAAATCCGTGATATATTTAAAACAAAAATTTATTAATTAGATATGCAATTTCGAATATACCTTCGTTTTGAAGTCCATATTGCCACCCCATTCGTTTGTCTGAAAATTTGATGGTGTTTTAGAACAATCTTCATTGGCTTCCTTAACTTCTTGCTTCTGCGCAAATAAACTCATAGTAATGTCAGTTTCCATTTCCATTGAACTTACCGCAACAGGCTCTTTTGATTGAAACGCGCTCTGTTCCTCCGCATCGAGTCTTGCCTCTTTCAGCTCGGAATCTTTCTCTGCATAAGTATCCAAATCCGAAATAATCTCTTTCAGCGTGTTCTTAATCTTTTCCTCCTTGATTTCCGCTATCGGCAGTGGTTCATAAGGTTTTGGTGGGGTACTGATAGTACTGGTATTAGTAGTGCTTAGTAAAGTGAAGGGTTTAGGACCGGAATTGAAGTTTCTAACAGGAACTGGATCTTCTATAATATCTGATATGTTTATAGGTTTTATACTATCTACGGGCAGTAGTGGTATCGCGTAGGACTTCTGTACGGGTTTCTCTTTCGCTTCTTCTTCGTTCTTGGCACCATTGGATAACTGTTGCGCCAGTTCGAAGGATTTCGGAGGCTCGAAGGGCTTCAACGGTTCAAAGGGTTTCAGTGCTCGCACTTTGTCTTCCTAAATAAAATTTATATATTTTTCTACTGATCTGTTTGTCATTGTCTAGGATTCGTAATTGAAGCTTCAGAAACCTGAAATAAAATACTGGAAATGTGTCGAAAAATGCTCTCGACTGTCTGATTCGTAATTTAACAAATTTTCATTCGTCGTTAAGGAATACGTTTGGAATTGGGTATTTTTTTTCTTAGAAATCTGAAGCTTCAAAACGTTACAAAACATAAAGAGGAGAAGTGAAAAGCTATATAGAACTGAGTTTGTTTGTTAACATTTTGAAGCTCAGTTTTCTGGAAGTAACGAAGAGTGTAGTTGTAGTAAAAAAAGTTCAAGAAGAGTTCCATTTTTTTTTATTATTAATAATTGCTTGTCTTTAAAGTATTACATTTGGAGAAGGACAAAATAATGTATGTTCCAAAAACATTCCGAGATTAATCAAAGCGCATATAAATATAATTTTTTTTAAAGGAAAAAATAATGTAAAGCGTCAGTTCTATATAACTTTTTCAGATATCCAAAAGGTCAAGTCTTTATCTGATCAAGTCTATATACAAAGTGTCTTTTATAGGTGAATTCGATTAGAATGAGAGGGTATCACATAATTATTACGTATATAATGAGAGTATGGACGAATATTAAAACAAGAAGAGAATGAATAGAGAGAGATAGAGAGAAAACAAATAAAAATGCAGATTAAGAGAAGAAGAGTAGTTGGTGATGGCATGACGTGTCGGTTCAAGATTCGTAAACCTCTTCGTATTCGGAGACCTCTTCGGATGAGAAGCTTTGCGTGGAGGACATTTTTGTAACCTTACTACTGCTCGTGCTGCTTACCGATTGTGAAACCGATTGCATCACGCTGCAGCTGCTCGTCGACTCCTGGGTGCTCGACGAGTTCTCAGTTTCCTCCTTCATTTTAGACACCTGAGTGCCCTCGAAGGAGGCGCTCTTCTCTGACATCTTCGTGTGGCCAAGATCCTTGTGCGACTAAAATCAGATAAAAAACACGTTATGGTTAATTATCACTGGAAATTGGCTATTTGTTTGTGCATTAATTTCGACGGCGGAAGTCCTTGGTGGTCTTTCAAGTGAACTCAAAAAAAGTAAACCCATCTGAAGTAGACTGAGAATTTATAGGGAGCGTGCTCGTAATTGGATATTATACGAGAAGGTGTGACACTTTAATACACCTTTTAATTGGCATTTACTACCTTTGCCAAGTGTTGCAAGCGTTAATTTCTTCCTTCTCTCTCCAACACCGCTGTCTCGGAACGCTTACAAATACAACACTCGTGTAAACATTTCTCGAACACATGCATCACTACATCCAACATCGTCGTGATTCATTTTGTTCTCTCCATATTTGCAGAGTTGTGCTCACCTCGGACAGAGTGGTCTGCTCGTTGGATTCCGACTCCTCCTCCCTCACCAGCGCAGTTCCGGTACCGATCTGTGCGAGCGCCATATCTTGCTTCTTCCGTATCCGGTTTTCCTCGTCCTTCCGCCTGAAACAATATCGGAAAACTTTACAAGCGTGAGATCACGGGATCCTAGCGTGTCGATGAACTTTTATGCAAGCAGTAATTTTAGCGAGATCATAATTGCTGCGCGCCGAGAATAGAATTTTTCAGACATTAAGAAGCCTAACAAATAAAACGAGCCTAGCTCAAAAAAAAACAAACAACAACGAAGAAAAAAAAAGAATAAAAAAAGACGAAAACGAATGGGGATAGATCGTCTCTTCCTATCCGTTTTAGAGCCGTCCAATTGGCGATCCGCCAACATTCGACTTCAAGCTAAATGAACTCGCTGCGTGCACAATTGCCAGCTTACCACAATTAATAACAAATAATTAATAATGAGCAGTCGCTACTCTGGAATTGCGACAACGTTCGTCACGCGAGTGCGAGTTTTTCTTCCCCCATTTGACTTCTTCCATTGGTGCTCCAATGCTTAAACGATCTCGAAAGTACTCCACGAGCCAAATGCTATTTATACGTGATATACTGTGTGAGGGAATTGCGGAAGTGGACATTTGCTTTTTGGAAAAGAGACAATAGCGAAAATCGATCGTGTTTAAAAGCTCTGGCCCTCTGCCAAATCCGATCTTCCATGCAGTTTTCTAACAGAACATTAACAGCAGAAATTAACAACCCATCGAAAGGAATTGCTCCCATGGAAATACGCTCATTTTAATACGTATTTATATACTTATACGTATTGGTCGGTCTTGAATCTAAATTATTTCAAGTTGCAATGAATTCCTTCAGGATGTTTCATTTTTATTTATAAAATATCACACAACAAATCCTTGCTCTTAATACGAAATTAGATCCACGCTTTTGTTCTCGGTGCCATTACGCAAAAATACAGCAGGAAAGGAAACAAAGTAGGTGGAAAGGCAACAAATTAAAATTCTTTGCATTCGTCTTAAAATTACAACAACAAAAACTAACATTTTGTAATATTTAGTTGACCTCGCATTCTGATTCTATTTTGAACTGATATTTGGTTGTTGCATAAGACCGTTCAATTTTTAAAAGATATACATTAAAAAAAAGCAGTTAATATTAAATATATTGTCCATTATTTTGTATCACTATGGCTCAACATTTAGACAATTTCATAATGCCATCTTTCCAGAAAGCTTTCTTTACCTTCTGGAGCGTACCCATGTGTATGCTCAAATTTACCGATCCTAAAATAATTTTTACACAAAACGAATGGTAGATGCAAATTGGCCACTTGAGTCACTCTACACAGGGTCACAAAATAGATAGCAAAATTAAATAAAATTTACACCAAATTGTATCTATAACTGTACGCTACAACTTATAGTCAAAAATCACCTTGTACAAACTTGTACACACCAAAATACGAAAAGCCAACAACCCAATAATTAAAATAAAATGAATAAAATATGTATAAATCAGATTTATGAATTGAACACAAACATACAATAGATAAATACATAAACAGTAATAAGGACTAACAAATCCACAAAGAATTAAGATAAAGTTGAATTTCATCCAAACATGATGATAATGATGTTTATATCAGCATTTGCAATAAATGGCATTATGTACATTCAAACATTCACAATTGAATTCTTCCATAATTTCTAAAAAAAATTGAAACTGTTGGATAAATTAACAATCATTTTCTATCTTTAAAATCGAACAGTGATAACTGTATAAAACATCATCATCATAGATGATCATATGATACAATAATCAAAAAGAATATTAACAGAAAATGTCATTCCATTGTCCACGATGTGAGATAAATTTTAGTTTTAGATACACTGTTCATCAAATTGGTACTAAAAACTCTTGTTAAATGTGTTTCAATATATTCAATAATATATGAAGAACATTTTATAATAGAGACTCGAAAGAGAACTTTAAAAGAAGAACAAGTCAATATGCTAAAAGATAATATCAGTCAAGATTGCATACTGTTAAGCCTAAGAAGTAAAAATTACATAGGAACATAGCTTACAAAATAGTGAATTATTCGATAAGCTTCTTTTAAATTTAGCAATGTTTGTCTTAACCAATTTACTTGAAAAGATATATTTATATAAAAAAAATAATAAGTTCCACACTATTACACATTTATTATAACCATTAAGACTTTTCAAGAATATTCAGTTAAAATCGTCAAAAAATTACATGTTTTTAAGATCACAACCAAATCACGTAGTCTGTGTTTCAAATCAAGTGCTTTTTTTGCATAGATATGGAATGAGAAAAATGAATGTAATTGTTTGTTTGATTATTAATATTTTAGATATCAATTGAAATGTGATTGATAACACTAATGATTGGCTACTCTAATTTTAAAATAAATCAACAAATCTTTAAGTAAGATGCTTCTAAATGCAAGATTATTGGTTTCCGTTTTAGATGAAGTCAACAATACATCTACATTTATTGTTTGTTTACCTTTGAAACACATCCCACAGAAAATAAGTAAGAAATATTAACAGTGAATATTTAACGTCGGAACTGAAAGCAGAGAGAAATTCTATTTTAAATCCATTGAGCCTCTTTTTCCGCGCTTCCGCGTTATTATTATATGCATATTTTTTTTCCGTATATTTCTTTTTTGACGTTGCTTCTTTGTGTCGTTTGGTGGGTGTCCGTGATGTTTCTTCCGGGTTTCTATAAATGTTCCGATTCAAAGTGCGATTTAAGCCGCACGCCTGTAAAACAAACTTCGACGCAGTGGGAATATTAAACGCAACATTTGCTCAGCAATTACTCAAAACTTGCATAATTTGTCTCAAAATCGTAAATCTCACTAGCGCGGAGCGACCGAAGAGATTTCTATAAATGAAATTTGGGTTACGATTGCCAGACTTTGGCACTGGCGGCATTTCTTTTTAAATTATTTTTTTTTAATAAAATAGCGAGGAAATCAAAATGTCGTTGTCGATAATGTCGACGAAAACGATCTCGCACAACTTCGTTGCGTTTCCAAAACCGAATTTATTCTTGCGTAAATTCGAGTTTAATACGCGTCGGAAATGTGTTTACACAAGACGCAACTGACAGGTTGACATCTTTGAAAATAACATTTTGGTTAATGAGACTGTAGACAAGTTAATAAGCCACTCACCCAGCCACCTCGCGATTTCCGAAACCGAAGAAGCTAAAACCCAATGTCCAAAAGTAACTCAGCCATTCCGCAAGCATGCCTTGAGAAATAAAGAAGATGAACAAAAAAAACAAAGATGATGAAGCTACGACGGGTTTATAGTTCCCGCCTTTGCTGCACCACTATCGCCTCGATCGTTACTTGAATCAAGAAGAAAATCACAATATGCAAATACATTGTTTTGTTTTCGTGCACTATTTTCTTCTTCTACATAATGAGATGCATAATATTGGAGCGACACTAATCTAAATCATTTACCGAATGGCGTTGTTAGTGATCCAATTTCGGATTGGAGCGATTTGGGACAAGCGCATGTCAACCTTAATAAACACCGATCCAATTGCTTTCGTCCATTCATTACTGCGCCATAAAAACGTAAACATCATTTAAATAGATCCATTTTAGTATCAGATTACACAGCTTTTACAACTCATATGATTGTCCTTGCCACCCAAACTTTCATTATAGACTTAAATTATATTCTAATTACCCAATAAAAGAATAATTATCCAATATAATTTATACTATTCCGAAATACTAAACTCTTACATCTTGGATCAATTAGCTACGATTAATTACATACATATGTTAAATACAGTCACATAATTTACACATTATTGCTTTATGTTTTTAAGAATCCCCGCGCATCCGCCATATTTAATAGAAAAATTAGAGACTACGTCTTTCATATATCATCTCTATTGCTGATTTTCATTTAGTTTCTATACGAAATTCATAACCACATAAATTAATTACAAAATCTAATTTAAAGTAAATTATAACTGATAATACATATTTAATATGTATATGTAAAACGTGTCTAAGATGCATTTATATAATAATATATATCTAATTACATTGAATTTCATTTAGTATTATAAATTATTACGAGACTCATGATAATTCCTGTCTTTCTTCATTTCTTGTTAGTTATTGATTATCAATAAACACAAATATAATAAATATAGTTTTCTGAAAACTAATTCAATAAAATTAATAAATCGTTGGAAATAATATCTATCTAAATTAACATTTTTATTAGATATTTGAAACATAGTTGAAAAAAAGTAGTAATATGTCAGAGTGGTAACATATGTTAATTATTAAATATCATTTTTTAAGAGTTTTCTTTTTTTATTCATACATGAATAAAAAAGGAAACTTTTTTTTATGTTTTCATTTTTATTAAATTTTTAAAGGTAACTTTACCAAGTCTAAAAAGAAGTTAATAGTATTATTGATGAATTTATAAAAGAAACTGAGAATAAGAACCCAAAAAACACTATAATTATAAAGAAATAATACACATCTGTGGCCAATAAATAATATACATCTCATTTAATAATAAGTGTATAGATCATTCACAAATTGAATTAAACGTTATAGTTTCCTAAATTCTTATTAATTGTGCATATCTACATAGTTCTGTTAATGAATTTGTCTGCACAATGTTTATTTATACAACAGTTTACTTTTCAGAAGAATGTAAAACGTTTTCTTTCCCAAGATAAATCAGTTTCCATCGTCACACAACTATGTTTTCTTTGTACTGAAAACGACGCCTCCATCCGAAGAGCAATTAGCTCCGCTCGTTAAACTTTTCTTTTATCACCGAAGCACGGGTACAGCTCGATGCTATTTCCGGTCCGGACCCCGAACCCGTTCGCCAAAGCCTCCTTACATAACAACAACGGCTCTCCTTATATTCCTTTTATTCCTTCTAATATTAAACCTCGGGTCTTGCACTCTCCACCAGCCGACTGTCTCTCGAGCATCGGAACTTTGTTGCAATCCAATTTACCAGCAATCAATGTCACCATTGCAATTTAGAGCGGTAATTAACGTCGCGCTCGGTGCGGTTT